AGAGAGAGAGAGAGAATTTTTTTTAATATTTATTTTTTAGTTCTCGGTGGAAACAACATTGTTGTTTGTATGTGGTGCTGAGGATCGAACCCGGGGTGCACGCATGCCAGGCGAGCGCGCTACCTCTTGAGCCACATCCCCAGCCCCTAAGACTTTTTTTTTTATAGTCCCCCACTCCCTAAAGACTTCACCAACTCCCAATAGTGCCACAGGCTGGGGACCAAGACTTTACCCACTTATCCAAACCATAGCAGAGGCGCAGTACAAAATAGAAATGAGGGATCTGTTGTTGAAAAATTATCAAGATTTTCAAAATTGGAATAGCTGAGCTTTAAACCCGTACAGAACCCCTGCAACAGCACAGATCATGTGTTCATGAACCCCCCGACTGTAGTTTTTATTTGAAGTCTAGTTTTCAGAGTGGAGTGGCCAGAAAAGGTAATACTTTAAGAATTGTTCAAGAAAGCCAGGAAAGAGGTCTGCCAGCTGGCCTCCAGCAGGGCATTCTTGTGAACAAGTAGTGCCTTGTGGGTCACTATGAATAACGGGCTCTCATCCAGTGACTTTCCATAGGTTAAATCATTTCATATACTTGCTTGCATATCAATGATTTATATCTATTAAATCATTCATCCTCACAATGAACATATAAAGTAGGCACTGTTACCTCCTCCTGCTTTATAAGAGAGTAAACTGAGGCACAAACAAGTTCAAGGAAATATTGATTTAGTTCTTCATGTTCTGATAATCTCTTTCAAATGTACTCGGTGCTTGCTAGATGTTGAGGGACTGAATCATGTTAAATTTACAAATAATTGATTTGGGGGCTATAAGAAATTTATTTCGGTATCATGATGAGCTGTACCATTCCAGTAACTGAAGTATTTATTTCCAATAATCCAGGAGCACCTCTTTGGGTATTGAGGTACCTGGAGAGAGCAAAATCAGGATCGGGAGGTTGTGCAGTGAGCATAGAATCAAAACAAAGCTAATTACAAAATCTCAGGGGAGATGCCGACTAGACTAATGCAAATTTGGGAAATCATTCTTGTGTTTCCTGGTTGTCTTCCTGGGACAGGAGCGACCTGCTGCTGAACGCAGGGCCTCTCTCTGAAGAGGCCACCTCACCACCTCACGCCAGACCATCAGGGAGGTGGTCTCTTCCCCTCCATTACTACATCATGGTCTGAGATTGTTTTAGTCAGCTTTTTTTGCTGCTGCAACTAAAAGACCCAACCAGAACAATTGTAGTGGAGGAAAAGTTTATTGAGGGCTCACAGTTTCAGAGGTCTTAGTCCATAGAAGGCCAGCTCCATTCCTCGGGGTCGAGGTGAGGCTGAACACTATGGCAGAAGAGTGTGGTGGAGGGAAGCAGCTCACATGGTGATCAGAAAGCAGAGTGAGATTCCACTGGCTGGAAACAAATATATACCCCAAGCCACGACCCGATTCCCACCTCCTCCAGCCACACCCCACCACTTCAGTTACCACTCTGTTAATCCCTATCAGGGGATTAAGTCACGGATTGGGATAAGAGTCTCATAACACAATCATTTCGCCTCTGAGCCTTCTTGCATTGTCTTATACGTGAATTTTGGGGGACACCACAACTAAACCATACAGGGATAGAATCCCAAACATCTTGATCCTAGCAATGTTTTATCTACAAATGAACCTTGAGGATGCCCCATCCACGGGCCTTTTGATTTCTACTGGTTTTTACCTGAGAGCACACTGAATCCAGGCCACTATATAGTCCCTCAGCCCAGCATCTAAGTAGCTCTAAAGAGGAGTAGAAAGTTAACACCTTAGAATGAGATTACATTGGTTCCATCGTGAATTTAGGATAAAGATGCCAGGTTAGCCCCTTGGAGATAAATTAACTGCTTACCTTTGAAAAAAATAATGAAACTTTGATTGGTTTCAAGTGGGGTTGAGAATATCAGCATAAAGTGAATGACCTTGGCATCTTCAAGGAATTTTTGTTTCGTTTTATTGTTTAATTTGTAATCCTCCTCTTGAAAGATACCTTCTTCCTACAGACAGGTGTTTTTTTTTTTTTTGGATGTTTCTTTTTTTTTTCTTTTTTTTCTTTTTTTATTGGTTGTTCACAACATTACAAAGCTCTTGACATATCATATTTCATACATTAGATTGAAGTGGGTTATGAACTCCCAATTTTACCCCAAATGCAGATTGCAGAATCACGTTGGTTATACATCCACAATTTTACATAATGCCCAATTAGTAATTGTTGTATTCTGCTACCTTTCCTATCCCCTACTATCCCCCCTCCCCTCCCCTCCCATCTTCTCTCTCTACCCCATCTACTGTAATTCATTACTCTCCTTGTTTATTTTCCCATTCCCCTCACAACCTCTTATATGTAATTTTGTATAGCAATGAGGGTCTCCCTTCATTTCCATGCAATTTCCCTTTTCTCTCCCTTTCCCTCCCATCTCATGACTCTGTTAAATGTTAGTCTTTTCTTCTTGCTCTTCCTCCTTGCTCTGTTCATAGTTGCTCTCATTATATCAAAGAAGACATTTCTCAGAGGAGGATATACAATCAATCAACAAGTACATGAAAAAATGCTCACCATCTCTAGCAGTCAGAGAAATGCAAATCAAAACCACCCTAAGATACCATCTCACTCCAGTAAGATTGGCAGCAATTATGAAGTCAAACAACAACAAGTGCTGGCGAGGATGTGGAGAAAAGGGTACTCTTGTACATTGCTGGTGGGACTGCAAATTGGTACGACCAATTTGGAAAGCAGTTTGGAGATTCCTGGGAAAGCTGGGAATGGAACCACCACTTGACCCTGCTATTGCCCTTCTCGGACTATTCCCTGAAGACCTTAAAAGAGCATGCTACAGGGATGCTGCCATATCGATGTTCATAGCAGCACAATTCACAATAGCTAGACTGTGGAACCAACCCAGATGCCCTTCAATAGATGAATGGATAAAAAAAATGTGGCATCTATACACAATGGAGTACTATGCAGCAATAAAAAATGACAAAATCATAGAATTTGCAGGGAAATGGATGGCACTAGAGCAGATTATGCTTAGTGAAGCTAGTCAATCCCTAAAAAACAGACAGGTGTTTTGTAAAATCATTTTCTGAAGAGAAACTGCTGGAAGTGATTTTAAAGGGCCTTTTTGGGGGACCATCTTGAAGAGTAGCACAATAAAAGGATGATGGTAAGGATGGTGAGGATGATGATAATGGTGATAGTGATGATCAGGGTGAGGATGGTGATGATAATGAAAGGAGCTAGCATAAATAAGTTTTACTATATAGGCATCAGGCATTGTGCTAACTGGATTAAAATACTATCTTTTATCAACCCTATAAGGTTATTCTCAGTTTGATGAGAGAAATAGATTTTCAATCTGTAATGTCTGTTAGAGGTAAAAGTGATGAGTTTTAAAGTCTGATCTTCAAGCATTGAGAAGGGATGGTTCTGCATGGCTAGACATGGGCTGGATGCAGGTGAGGCAAAGGCAGGTGAACCAGGGGCCACAAGGAGCCAACGAAGAGGGTCCTCAAAGAACCAGGGCAGAGGTGTTTAGGATGAGGCATACATGGATAGAGCTTTCCAAAGATCCTTTACTGAGAAGGGATTGGATAGAGCACCTGAATCATTTCTCTATTTATTTGCAAATATTAATTATAACTTATTATATATATATATATATTGTGTGTGTGTGTATATATATATATATATATATATTTTTTTTTTTTTTTTTTTTTTTTTCAGATTAACTGTAGGTTGGTCACATACATTCCCTGGTGTGGAGTTTGCCCACCTACCTCAATCTTTTGTTGCTCCATTGTAAACATTGTTACTAGAACCTCCTCAGATAGAGCAGGAGTCAGATGGTTTCCTCCTCCCTGGGAGGTGGTTTAATCATTTTCATTTGTAAAAGAAGAAACAGTGGCTCAGAGGTACTCATTAATTTTTACAGCTAGATAATGCACAGGTGCAGAGTCCAGATCTGGGGCTCAGATCTTTCTGGCTCATTCCCTGGGGCATCCCCCATGGGCAGTACAGCCCAATAGCAACTCTCAGTTGCAGGCATTCCATCGAGCTCGTCCCTGTTTTCATTTTCAGTGGGCTTCCCTTCGCCCTGCCACACACAGCTGCCCCCAAGGGTGCAATAATCTCAACTACCCTGTCTCATTTAGCTTATTGCTCTGCACTGCTAATGGAAAGTAATGGAAAAAAAAAACAAGATTATGGCTTGTGATTTCCTTACCTACTTCTTATGTTCAAATCAAAAGCAAAGTCAAGACACAATAATAGTAATGATAACAATGATCATTTATAGTTGTGGCAGGAAATCAAAGAGTGCTATAGCATCCATTCTGGGCCAGGTACTGTTGTAAGCATGTTTATTAGTTCAATTTGTCCCATATCTTCATAAAACAAAGGATGAAGTGTGTAAGGAAGAGGATACTGGGGTTTTCGTTTCCCTTGACCCAGTCTTTAAACTTCTCCAAATGAATTTTAGCAAGGCTTGACCTAAATAGAATCTGATTCTTACTTGTGGCTCCAAAAATATTTCTACTCTAAAGCCTGAAATTTTGGCAAAGGGAGGTGCCAGACAAGAAGCAAGAGTCTGAGGCCCACCCTGGATCCCCCAGGCCAGGGGGGATCTGTTGCTCAGAATCTGTGGCTCCTTCCCTCCTTCCTCCTCCCTTGCTTTCACACAAATCTTTCTTTTTCAGGGTGAAGAGCGCTTGCTAATTACTTTGTGTGACAACATCTCCTTTTCTCTTGCTCTCAAGGGTGAAGACCCCCACTCTTTGGACCCTCCTACATGTTCCTGCATCCTGGGAGGGTGGAGGCCGCTCTGCCTCCTTGTGCCAGCAGAACAGCTCAATGAGAGACACATGTGTGCAGAGAAGGGGGGAATTTGGCTTCTAGGGTCCACTGCACACTCAAAACCAAGGCTGCTGCGGTAACTCCCTTCATAAATCTTGACTTTTAACTACAAATTATTTAGACTATCTGGTTTCACTTCCTTCTCTTCTCCCGTCAGATTCAAAGAATCTTAGACTTAAGAGAAACATTGAGTCTGAATTAAACTCCATTATAAACTTGATCCTGGTGACGTCTCTTGTTTCACAGGGGAAGCTGGGCAGTAGGCAGAAGTGGGGGCAGGGGGACTTCAAGGCAGGGGCCAGAAGATATTTACAGATAAAAGCCATTTGCAAAGCAATGGAGTATGGAAGATGGAAAGGTCCAAATCGGGGAGGGCATGAAGAGGCCAACCTACTTCACTGTGATATTATCAACCTTAATCATTGTCTTGGGATGGTATACCTAACACAAGTTCTAAACAGGAAATAAATCATATTTCAGGGGTTCCAGTAAGGACATAATGACAGCTTTGGAGCAGAGTTGCCGCCACTTTCTGCCATTCAGCCTCTGCCCCTCCCCTGGGCCTTAGCCTGGGTCTAGGCTGCCCTTGGATCCCTACAGGGGGCCTTCCACCCAGTTCAAGTACCTGCTTGCAGCCTTCTCCTGGCCCAGCACACAAACAAACTTTGAGGGAGAAAGGAAAACACTGTCTTCTAGCGTCCTGAGGCAGGCCTGAGGCAGGCCTGAGGCAGGGATTTCCCAGAATTTGTTATGACTGACACCCTGTTCTCCCCACCAGGTTGATAGGAGCCAGGAACAAGGTCGAAAAGCCATGAGTCAGGCCTGGAGAATTTCAGTTTCAACACCCTCTCTGCAAGAGGCTGTTTAATCATACCTGTTACCTTCAAGGAGAAGGTCACTGACTCTGTAGTAAATGATTATATGCTGGCTGCTTCGTTTAGTGTTCCGACGTCTAGTCCCTTTATATTTTTTGGCTTGTATTTTTTGGGGGGGGAAATCATGATACGCTTCATTTTGTTTTACGGGATAGGAACCAGTCACTGGCAGGTTGGTTAGCTGGTTCCATGTGATGGAGTGCATGCAAACAACTCTGTGGAGGATTGAAGGACAGGGCTGTAGTTCAAATTCTGTAGTTCAAATTCTGGGATAGGTTGTCTCACCCAAGTCAAGGGCTCACTGAATACTGCAAACCAGTTGAATAATCACTGAGGTCTAAGCAAGGAAGGAAGGAAGGACATAGGTACCAGGCTTCTAGAAAGAACATCCATTTATGCCACATGGTAACTGCACTCAGGGTCTCTAACTCCCAACTTCTGCCGTCAGCCCTCAGACCAACTGACCCAGGAAGATCATACTGAGAACTCAGGACTTGTGAACCTGCGTCCTGAAGAGATAACTTAGTCAAGAGCCACTCTTAGCCGAGTCACGCTTGCTGGATGTCTTCCTTAGTGTCATGGCAAAGGCAAAGAAGAGAACTGCCAAATCGGACCTACAACCTACCACCTTAAGCCAGCCCCTTCATTTTCCTCAAGAGAATAAGTGTTCAGAATGCTGTGGTTGGAGATTATTTATGGAAGGATGAGGAGTATGGTGGATCGGTTGATAGAAGGGTCAAATGCATTCTGATAATTTCTTCGCCCTTTTCCTGCACTTTTTCTCTCTAGGACTCATTTAATATTTATCATAAGCTTCTTAATAACCAGAAGTATATTGGGCTAGTCACCCTTCCATCACTATAATGAAATACTTAGGGTAATTAATTTATAAAGAGAAAAAGTTTAATTGGGCTCACAGTTTGGGAAGTTTGAGTCCATGATCCATTGGCTCTGAGGCCTGTAGTTAGCACGCCATGAGTAAAAACCATGGCCAGGAAGAAACAGAGAGTGAAGGGGGTTTGGGGTTCCATGATCCCCTTTGTGGACTAATGACTAAAGTCCTTTCACTAGGTCCATCTTTAAAGGTTCTACCACCTTCTAATACACTGAGGATGCAAACTACAGCACACATCCTCTATACCTATACCCAGGAGCTGGCCCAGACTGCTCAGGCCTGAAGCTTAATAATTGTGGGGGCCTCATTTAAGAAATTGAATATTTTTTTTAAATAGAAGAAATGAAAATAAATTTTAATTTAAAAATACTGATAAATACCACATACATCACAAAATTTCAGGAAAACTAACATGATTTTTATTAACTGCCCATCATAGTATTATTATACTGTTTTCCCCACAATTTTTGACTTCATACTCTTTGATGGTCTCTTCATATGACAACAACCTCAAAGAAAAAACAATAGGAAGATAACGCAGTCTTTCATCTAACATGAAACAGTTGGAATGCATAATCCTATGACCCGCAGGAGGACATATTTGCTATTTAGAATAATATTGTAAAATTTCGCCTTAAAGCGACAGAGAGAATTTCTTTTCTAACAAGATGGCCATGAGAATTGGATTTTCTGCTTGCAATTTTGCATGGTAGATGATTGCAAGAATTCCTTCAGAATTCCTTCTGCCTCCATAATCTCAAACCTCAATGATGTTCCATTTCTCATCTATTCGTAGGGCCAGATTCTGCACTTACATAGTGATAGACTTCATGTACTATAATAGTGCTTTCATATCACCACGATGCATGAGTTGGCATTTAGATTATGGAAGTATTTTGTAGAAGTATTTCTAGAAGCAATTCCCACCCCACAATGAATAGCAATAACTTAACTATGTATAGAGGTGATTGTGAGCCCACTAAATATATCCTATTAAACCCAAACTAAGTATACCTTCAGCTCCACTTCACCTCAGCTAAGTTCCAAAAATATAATGGGACTCCAAAGCAACTCCACACAAGGTGTTCACAAGTGTGGTGAAGGAGATGTTAAGAGTAGAAGAATCTTAACTCATTGCGGTTTATTTTGCTTTTGCAAAGTTCATAAAACACAAATGACCATGGGCTCTGCAGCTTATTCTTCATTCACATTGAGGCAAATCTGCCTCTGCTTATATACTCATCCTCAGTATCCTCAGTGGGTTGGTTCCTAGACTCTTTGTAGATACCAAGTCCACAGATGCTCAGGTCCCTTATATAGAATGTTGTGTGTGTGTGTGTGTGTTTCATCTAACCTATGCACACTATCTACTATAACTCTTATACCTAGATTACTTCTAACTCTCATACCTAGCACACGCCTGCACATCACTTCCTGCGTGCGGACTCAGCACGGTACATCGCATGTGGCAAATTCAAGTTTTGCTTTTTGGAACTTCATGACATTTTTTAAATCCATGGATGTGGAAATTACACACAAGAGGGCCAATGTATCCATTTTGAAGTCCAGTTTGGTATTTGATCAATGATTGATAATTGAAGGAATCAAGAAATTAATCTGTAAAGACAATGAAGATTGGTGTGCTGGGACATCAAAGGAAAGGCTCTGCGTGTGTGACAGCCATGCATGTGTGCCAAGGGCTTCTCTGCCTGATGAGGGGTCTTAGGGAAGCACAGGGGCTGGCCGTAGGAAACTTCCAGGGATGTTGAGACGAAGGGGTCTGGTTTTCAGATCATGATTTTTTTTTTCTTTTTCTAAAGCATAGGGTAGTCTTGGTTGACATATGAGAGGGCAGGCTGGACACGGCAGAAAAAGAGGATGAGAGGTTAGGTAGGGAGTGGGGGAGCGAAGAACAACACATACAGAGTTTCCTAATCAGGACTCCCATCTTCGCCTAGCAGTAGCGATTCTGTGTGTAGCTCCTGGAAGAAGAGCGTGGCAGAGGTCACCTGTGGGTCTGAAACCAAACCTCCTGAAGTGACCTGCCAGGGATGATTTCCCACTGGTCCTGGGGAAAAGGCATTGCTGAGCCTGAGAGTTTATCTGCTTGTTTCCAGGAGGCCTCTGTGATCAGCTCTTTTTCTGGTTGAGAAAGCAGGACAGGAACAGAGTGTGATCCCTGAGACCCATTTGTGCCCCTTGTGAGATCCAATCCTGAGCTAAGTGAGGCTTCATAGTCTCCATTTCCTTGTCCTCTGGGGCTCCAATTCTCTCCATTCGTTCATGGATCCCATGATGCTGTATTAACTGTGTGTTGATGGCTACCACATGCCACACTACTCTAGAGCTGGGGACACTGTGGGGAAATAGACTGGCAGAGCTCCTGTCCTCATAGAGCTTCCAATCTCCAGGAGGACAAAGAGTGTATCAGCAAACAAATGCCATCCTGCAGCTCCAGAGGGTGACAAGGGTTATGGATAAAATGGAAAAGGGGGACCTACTGGGGCTTGGTGGGGACGACAATTTCAGGAGCATGCTTCCTTTTGAGGAGAGGACATCTGGGAAGGGAACCGTGGGAAGAGGCAGTAAAGCCAGCATCCAGGAAAGAGTGTGTTAAAGGAAAAGGGAACCCTCTGCCACCTGCCACCAAGAGGTGCTGGCCTATGGAAGGTCAGAGAGCACGTCAGTGTGTCCCACATGACGTGAAAAAGATGGAGACAGGGAAAAGAGGAGGCTGGAGAGAAATGGGCTCCATAGATTATGGTTTGGGGCATAATGAATTGGAGCAAATTACCTTATGCTTTTAGCAAATTAACTCTCCATTTTTGTGATTCCATCCATGCACCTAAAAGGGCACGTAGAAGGAGACCCTGGTGAATGAATGGAAAGACCACCAGACCGGTGCCAGTAACAGCTTCAGGGAATTGTGATGGTAATGGAAGGAGTCACAGGCCCCAGAGGAGCATCAGGGCACAGTAAATGGGTCTCACATGACCCACTCTGGGGCATGTTCCAAACTGCCCAGACAGTGAGCTGGCACCAGCTATGAAGAAATAATCTTTATAATAATGAAGACCACTTTGGTTACTCTGAGTGAATAAGCTGGTGTGGGATAAGTGAGGCAGGAGAGAGGCCAATTAGAGAATTATTACTATAGCTCAGCCTGGAGATGGCGGTTCATGGTCATCCCTGCAGAGACATATGTTGGAGACGGAGTTGGGAAGATTTACTGACAATTGGTGAGGGAGAGTGAGGAGGGGGATGGTGTTATCATTTGCTGAGATAGCAAGGACAGGAGGAAAATAGAATTTTGGTAGGAACTTTAAAAGTTCCATCATGGTATATTGAAAAGGACACTGGCCAGAGGAAATCTGAAGCCCAAGGGGGAGCTCAGGGCTGCATTTATATATTATCAGTTTTATTAGCTTCACTGGTGCTTCAACAATGCTGTGAGCAACCAGGAACATGTACAGTTCGATTGTTGCTAGTGGTACTGTGACAAGACACCTAGCTGTTCATCAGAACTTCTCACTTGTCCAAAGAAGTGTTGTTGCAGGGAGCAGCTGGCCACCCCTGTTCCTTTTAGGTGGAAGTTCCTTGAACACTGACAACAGGCCAAGACAGTGACCAAATGGTGACATCTTATCGATTCCCTCTCTTCCTTGTTTAACTGGCTAGATGGAGGTGATAACAAGTCCCCTGGGCAATACTGACACATATGGGCCAGAAAATTCTTTGCTGTGTGTAGTAGAATGTTTAGCAATGTCTCTGGCTTCCACCTACCAGATGCCAAGAGTATGCCCAGGACTGAAAATAAATATCTCCAGACGTTGCCAAATGTCTCTTGGAGGCCAGAGCACTCCTGGTTGAGAGTCTTTACCCTAAGATGGTGAAACCACAAAATGGAAAACTCTTGATCTCTGAATCAATGCATGGATGACAGCCATCACTCTCTGATAAGAAAACTCACCTTGTACTTTCACATGAGTGTCTATTATATAAAATCATTAACATTTCAGGTCTTACTTGTTATTGCAACCGTGTTATTTTAAGCAGTTCAGCACCATAGTGATGCCATAAGCAAAACATAGCAGAGCCTAAAAACTACCACATTCCTGCCTGTTCAGTCTGTGTAGATAAATCATCCAACTTCTCTGAGCCTTAGTTTTTATTCTCATCTGAAAAATAAAGAAATGTTAGGCTAGATGTGTAGCTTCCAAACATTTAGCCCTATAATTCACTGGAAGAAATGCTCTGTGACCAAGGACACACATGAACTTCACAGAACAATGCTCACCATTATTGTGAGCGTGTAATTCTGATGCCAACAGGATGCTATGCTGCTGTTGCAATTAGGGGCATAAAGAACGTGTAAGAAAATAGGAAAAGGAGGATTTTATTGGGTTGAAAAGCAAGCAGTCCTGAGTTCTTTTCTCATGGCAATTATCTTGAACATTTATGCATAAAACCCCATTTTTGCTTAGAATGTTTTTTTAATGGAAAGGAAACCTAATACTACATTTCCAATCCAAAGAAAACCTGGGTTCTGGCCCCTGCAATGCTTCTGACAGACTGTATAATCTATAAAAGTGGTGAAAGGAAAATATGTTGCTTCCATTAGGAATTCTGGAGGGAGAGAGAGAGTGGCGTTATTCATAGCACATTCTAAGGACCAGTTCTATATAAATATAAGGTGTTATTCTGTTTGCCTTTCATAATGAGAAAGAATGAAATATTATGAAACTAAAAAAAACAAGACTGAGTAATTGCTGCCATAGACATTCAACAGAGCACTGAGGACAAACTCAAAAGGTAGTCTATTTTCCTGTGGCAACCCTTTTTCCTTACTTTAAAAAAGTCTGTCTTGAATCCACAGGCTATAGGGCCCCTGGAAGCTGTAGCAGAAGCAAAGGAACCAGCTTCTGTGGAGACACTCTCCTCCCTGCCAACTCTTTTTGGAACCTTCAATGGAAAGTTTTATGAAAAGAAACAATAGAGTCAAAAAGAAGAGAGAGGTGCAGTTTTTTTTTTTTTTGAAAATTCTAATTTTCCCAACACATTCCTCAATGGTTGCTTCCTTTGTGACATAGTCTGTGGGGGGATTATACATTGCTTTGTCATTGGGTTCCAGAAGTTGGTAAACTGTTTAATAGCTCTTTGAAGAGTTATATTTTGTTGCTGGAAACATAGACACCTCCTACGACTGCAATTTTCTGGACTTCAATTGCTTGTGAAATGTCCTTTGGAAACGCTAAGCAAGTATCAAGGGCACCGTTATCTTTCTTTTTCTACCCAGGTACATTAGTGTTTCATGCCTCAGTGGATAAGAAGAGAAATTATGGAAGGCAGAAGAGGGAGATCTGAAACAGATCTCAGGTGAAGGACAGAGTTACACATCAATACCGAGAATGTATCGTAGGATGTCTCTTGTTCCAGAAAGATGGTATAATGGAATGTCATCATATCACCCTTCCCAGAATACTCCAGTCTTGAAATTCCTGGGCACTGTAGTTCGTATGAATGATTATGATGATGTTAATGAAAACAGTAATAGTGGGTAGTAGTGATTTAATGATCTTTCAGTGATGGATACTATAGTAAGAAACGTATGTATATTGTTTCATTTAATCCTCATAATAACCCAAGAGGCAAATTCTATTGTTACACTCATTTTGTAAACGAAAAGACTGATGTTTCAAGAGGGTTCATAACTTGCATGAGTATCAAACCTAAAACACATGACACAGGTAGCATGTGAACTTGAGTCAGTTAGAATCTCGTTCGTGCTCTTAATCATTGCGCTGTGCTGCCTTCTTGATGTTCATAAAGTGTTCACAGAGGGTGTGCGTATGACATTCAGAAGGGGTCTCATGGGTATTGACACCGCTGACGGTGATGATGTCCTCTTTTGTTGACACCTTCCTCTTTTTTTTCTTTTTCTTGGAAATAGTGCTTTCCCTAAAATCCAATTGTGTTAGCTCTAAAGCACCATGAGAACATTTCTTTGCTTCTTCACAATTTGTCAGTTTATAATATTCCCTAATTGACAATCTTGAATCCCTCTTTCTTTTGTAAATAAATCCCCTTTGCCTGATCACATGCCACATGGAATATGTCCTGGGTCTAGTCATACTGATTGGCCCAGGATGGGAGACATGATTCCGCTGGGCCAATCAGCATTCTTCTCTTTTGCCCCTGGAGGTGGGAGAGAAGTCTCTTTAGTTCAATAAACCCATAAATCATGGGTTTTTTATTTGTTTGTTTGTTTTCTATTTGACTTCAGTTATTTCAGGTTGGGTTTCTGAAAGAATCCTGGTTTATCCAAACTTGTCCTCTGTTCTCAATTTTTGTTTTACTATGGGTCCTTTAGCTATTGAAGAATTTGTTTCTATATCAATAAAGACCAAGAAGTAAATTTGAGAATAAATCAAAAGTGAAGTAAAGATAGAAATGGGGACCCATTAGGAAACATCTTCAATGTAGGTGTTGGAGGACATAGGTCTGAAGGAAGTTATAAACTTTCTTCTCAATATATTGATTTAAATATGGGAAGAAGTTTTTGCAAGAAGGAGGTATTACAGGAGATACCATCCTGCTTGCCTGTAGGAGAGTCATGAGGATTTTGTAGATCCAATCTTTTTCGTTTGATGCCAAGTTTGAGGACCTATGATACTTTAGGCTTTATGAAATATTTCTCCTCTGGACACTTGTGTTTGCATAAGTTTTCTATATTGGGTATGTATGTTTTTCTAGTAGAAGCTTTCTCCATTGTGTACATCTTTCTTCCCCCAAGGGACCTATAAAGAAAAAAAAAATCAGCTTGTTTTTCTAAATAGAGGTTTGTGCTAAACACAAAAATTGAGCTACAAGTAAATTCTGCTCTGATCTTGAGGGATAAAATAAACACAAAGCAATGCAGAGCTATGTTTTGCCAGAGCCAAATAGAACATGACGTTCAGAAGTTTCCAATTGAGTTCCGAAATTAGAATAAATCTTGGCAAAATGCGTACTCACGTCCCATTAGGAATCTTATCACTTGGACTCAGTTCTGGCTATTTCCACTCCTTACTCATTCCAGTAGCTCCCAGGAGGCCTGAGGACCTTTCTCCATGTGTTTTGGAGCTGCCCCAGGACTGCTGATTTTTTCTTCCTTGTTGGCAAGACTGTGCCCCAGTTAGGATGGAAATAGAGCAGCAAGAAACCAGTCAGTGATCTAAGTTTTAAAGACCCACTTCCAGCTCCACTGCTTCTAGGAAGCCCAGCTATTGCTGCTGACCGCCTGGTTTTACAACTGCAACCCTTCTAGAAGCATTTGGTTATAGGTGTTGGGTTTAACCTTTTGATTGGTCCTTAAGTCCCGGCTCATAGTGAAAGGTTTCCTGGATTATACCTTCTATAAGAATGTAGTTTATTTCCAGATTTGTATCCTTCTTGGATAGGTCCTCTGGTTCAAGTGTGAGTTTGGGAGTTTCTATGAGTTCCTCTTAGGAAGTTGTTGAAAGCAGCCATATGGTTGCCAATAAGTGTCAAGCAAGGACAGGTAAGTAGGTGCTGAGCTACCTCCCAGGAGCCAGGATACCACACTTCATCACCAGTGTGGGCTTTTAAGTGCCTCTAAGTCCAAGACTTTATCTCATCTCCCCCTGTTCATGAATCAGAGCATAGACACTTGAGTTCACCAGTGTCATCTTTGACACTTAACATGCCATATTCATTCTAACCTCAAATCTTTGGCTCATCCCAGATTTTCCTCTTGAGATACTTTTCTCTATTCTCCAAATGCCCTTCATCCCTCAAACCCATCTCTGGCCTTACATGCTCTGCAAAGCATCCCTGTCAACAGTTTTGACCACATTGATTTTTTGCTTCTCTTTTTCCTCTGTTTTCCGGAAGCATCTTGAAGTCAGGGCATGTATTTCAGGTTTTCTTTTATTTTGTATCTCTTGCAGTTTGAAAAATAGGTCCTTGATATTTGCTCAAAGTACTTGGTATTTGCTCAAATCCAACAAAATTCATAATCTGATTTTAAAAACGTGAAAAATCTGAACACTAAAAATTAGAGATTGTAACTGAGATAAACTGAAGGAGATTCTAAATGGATCCTGAGTGTTCTTATCACCCACAAAAGGTAACTGTGTGAGGTGATGGCTATATTAATTAGCTTGATTACTTAGCTATATTACTTAGCTGATGGTGATGATATCCTCTTTTGTTGACAAAATTTAAATGTACATTAAAACATCACATCGTATACCTTGGACATATACAATTTTACCTCAATAAAGCTGATGACAAAGAAGCCCTAAATAGACGAAAGTATAGCTTCTGCTCATAGATTGGACCAGTCAACATTATGCTGCAAAAATTATCTTCCTAACAGTGAAAAAGGCAAAAATTTTCAGAAATAGCACATACAGTATATTAAAACATAAAATTGAAAAATTAGACTACCTTAAAAATAAGAATTTGTTTTTTATCAAAAGACACCATTAAGATGAGAAAACATTATGTCACATATCTGAAAAGGACTTATAATCAACTATAGAAAGATCTCCTATAAATTATTAAGAAAATATAGAAACCTCTGTAGAAAAAAATATGCAAAAGACTTGTGGAGACAGTTTATAAAAGAAGAAATCTGAATGGCCATTAAACACATGGAAAATGCTTCTAACATCCTTACTCATTAGGAAAATTAAAATTAAAATCCTGATGTCTTAAAACACAGCCACTGGAATGGTTAAAATAAAAATATTCAAAACCAAGCAATGATGATGATTTGGAACGTCTGGGCCTCTGCACTTGCTTAGTGTATGATGCAAGTATGCAGTCGGTACAATTACCTTTCAAATCTATCTAGCTTACCCAACTAAAGCAGAACATATGTATATCATATGAAGTAGCACTTCCACTCCTAGGTAAATTTGAGCACATATGCTTATCTGAAGACACGTGGGCAGAACATTTATAACAACACTATGTACAATAACCAAAAGGCAGAAACAGCCCAAATATCTGACAACCAAATGGGGAAAGAAAGATGGTATAGCCATACAATAATAATGAACAAAGTATTGAAACATGAGAAAAATTTGGATGCATCTCACAAACACATCATATATTGAGCAAAGGGAGTCAAACACAAAGAGTTTCTACTATATCATTCCATTTTTTTTTTAAGTTCAAAATGAAGCCAAACTAGAGGGCCACAGGAGGACTGTGGAGATGCAGAACTGTTCTTCATCTGGCTGGTGGTTACAAGGGTTTGTCCTTTTTGTAAAAATTCATTGATTTTTACATGTATGGTTAATGAGCTTTTTATGTCTATATGAAGTATTTATACTCAAAAGCAAAATGCTATGACCTAGAATGAACTGCCACTCAGCAGGGATTTTTCCCAGTGCGTCACTTCTGCTCGTAAGCTCTGGAGTAGAAAATGAGGAAAGTTTGATTCAACAAACATACTCATAAATCAAATTTCAAGCCTCATCTTGACCTTGCAAAGAATAAAGCATGGCTCTGAGCAACTCAACTCCTCCTGCTTCAACAAATTGACCCATAAAACCATTTTATAGATGTCACTCTTTGCTTTGCTTTCAACAAGGAAAGCATTTTTACTAATAACATTCTCATCCTCATTATCTCCCCATTGTAGCTCACCTCCTGGCTTAGAATTTCGTGTGTCTCATGACGATGATGAGCTTGTTGAAACGTGAATTATAATTATATATATTATTTTCTTATTCCACCATCCCACCTTTGCAGGGCAAAGTAGTCCTGTGCTGTTCATTTGAGTACACAAGAGAGGCTCAAAGCTAGATTTTAAAAAAAAAATTAATTTAATTGGATCAACTTCAAAATTTGGAGTGAGAAGCTAAGTGGGTAGCTCTAGCTGCAACTGAGCAAGCCTTAGATTCTCCCTTTTGCAAGTGGAGTACAAGGTCATCATTTCAACTAAAAGTCCATTATAGTGTTGTAGAGCTACGCACGTTCTTCAACACAGTAGCCATTGACCACGTATAGGTATTTAATTTAAATTAACTAAAACTTCGATTCAAAGTTCAGCCGCTCAGGTGCACTATCCATGTTAAGAATGTGATCCCAAATTTGATTCATGAAGCTTGTTCTTAGATATTCCAATTGACTTAGGATAGTCCAGCCAGAAGATTCTTTGTTGAAGGCAAATTGCAAAATATAGTCTCCTGTTTTTGTGTAAATTCTATCAAGTCTACCAAAATAAGGTGAGCAAGTATTAGATATGAAGGCTAATGTCTTGAATTTAAAATGTTTATACTTAAGCACTAATTAACTGGAACTTTGATGGTGTCATTAGTCATTTAATACCTATTTCCTTATCTTTCCCCATGGGACAGTAAGTAATACCACCCCTCAGAATTATTGGGAGAATTCACTGATGCCTGCTTTCATTCAACTTTCTTTTTTAAAAAAAAATTTTAGTTGTAGATAAACACAATACTTTTATTTTATTTATTTATTTTTATGTGGTGCTGAGGATCAAACCTAGTGCCTCACACATGCTAGGCACACGCTCTATCACTAAGCTGCAACCCCACCCTTCATTCAACTTTCAACATTTAACATTTATTCAAAACTACTCTGTGTGTCAGAACCTCCATTGGCTGGAGATTGTCACAAAGAACCAGTTGGTGATTTGCTGCATATTTCTCAGCCTTTTCTTTATTATTTGCCTCTGAGTAGTCTTCTAATGTTTTAAAAAATAATCTCCCTCACCCACCCATGAAATTTTAATACCACAGACACTATGTTAGTTTTTCACCACTATGACCAAAATATCTGACAAGAACAACTTAGAAGAGGAAACATTTATTTCAGAGGTTCAGTCCATTGTTGGCCAACTTCATTGCACTGGGCCCAAGAAGAGGCAAAAACATTATGGTGGAAGGGCATGGTGGAGGAGTGTTGTTCTACTCATGGTGGCCAGGATGTGGAGAGGGCAAGAGGATGGGGAAACAGGGAAGATGAACCCTTCCAGGACATGCCCCCAGTTACCTGCCTTCTCCAGCCATGCCCCATCTACCTACAGTTGCCACCCGGTCAGTCTATCTAAACTAGGATAAACAAACTACCTTATAACTCTCACAATGCATCATTTCATTTCTGAATATTCCTGCATTAACACAGGGGATTTTGGGGAACACTGCATATCCAAACCATAACACACTATTTGTTTATGTATCTCGTGCATATCTGTGCTTTATAATAAAAAGCAAAAATTCCCAGTCTCTCCCCTGCCAAGAACCACTTCTGGCTCCCTTAGGGAGACAACTCCCCATTAAGAATGAGGAATGTAAATGATGGCAGGAGTGTAGCAGATGCACCAAGATAAAGAGGCACAAACTGCTCAGTTTGTCTCACTGGGGTGTAGCTGTGATGGGTGAAGCCAGGAAAAACTTGAGGGAGAAAAGCAGGGTGCTGGTGGCCACAAAGAAGGAATCAGAACTACAGGGCAGCCCCAGGGAGGGTGCAAGGTGAGGCAGTGTGCCTTCTCCTGATTGGGTGTATGAGGGGTGCTGATGTGGAGGCGGGTCAGCCTCACAGGGCCTTGAATGCTGAGAGTAGCCCTTGTCCCAGAGACATTAGAAACATATAAAAGTTCTAAGATGGGGAATGACTTGCTCAAACTGATACATTTGCAAGTTCATTTGGGTTTTGTGTGGATGAGCAGGAAAATCTGCTCAGAGATAGAGGCAGTAATCTTGACTTGCATGAGCAGTTACCTCTGACATTAAGAGAGGCAGATGGAGAGAGTTTGGAATACAATTAAGTGACACAGTTTATGTGCAAGCAGCTGGAATGCTGCAGGTAATTTTTTAATAGTGTTTCTTATTAGGATTTGGGCTTTGGAGAACATTTGGTGGCTTGGCGTTAAAGATGCATCCCAGAGGTCCAAAAACCAGATTTCTGAAAAGTTTGATATTTGTGTTTTTTAAAAAATATTTTTAGTTGTAGATGGACACAATACCTTTATTTTATTTATTTTCATGTGATGCTGATATTTGAACCCAGTGTCTCACACATACTAAGCAAGTGCTCTACCACTGAGCCACAACCCCAATCCAAGGTTTGATATCTGTTAAATCCATGTTTTGTTTTGTTTTTGAGGTGAAACTGCAGAGTAAATCTGGACAGTGAGTTCCAGGGGACTGCACGAGCTACTCTTCATCGGTACCTGGATCACTAAGCTGACTGACACCACAAACTGTGCAGAAATATGACAGGTCAGTACAGGCTCAGGCATTCTCAGACCTGTGCAGGGTTTTATTCATTAACTTCAAGGGCTCCCTTGTCTCATCTGTAGCCACATGTGAATCCACTGGCTATATCAGTTGTGGTACTTGCCATCTCCTCTACCCACCTCTGTTCTCTTCTTTTGTAATTTTGTTTCATTTTTTGGCAGTACTAGGGATGGAGCCCAGGGCCTCACACTTGCTAGGCAAGCATCCTACCACTGAGCTACATCCTACCCCAGCTCCCTGCCGTCTTCTAGTGATTGCCCAATCTGTCACCAACACACCCCTGAGAGGTGACCATACTCTCGTGTTTGCAATAGTAAATTAGGCCACTTTTGGTTGATCCAACACCATGTTTCTTGTTTCTTGTCTGTCAGTAGCTTTTAGGATTATGAAAGATTCAAGAAAGCAGCAGCGATGTAACAGGCAGGAAAAGTGAGGAAAGTTCTCATGGGAATGGCCTTTCCATGAAGTGGAGGGGCAGGGTCAGTGGCTTTTTGGCAATAGGAGGACTGTTTGCCATTCCTGGAGAGGGCAAGGCGTCAGAAGGTGGAGCCCAGGGGTGGCGGCTGCTGATGCTGCTACTTCTTGATGGGGAGCAGGCAGCAGCTGTCCCTAGAAGCTTGTCTGACATGGCTGAGGAGAAAGGAAGGCATCTACCTACTGTCTTGGACACTGGGATATATACCAAAGCCTTTTTCCTTTAGCTTTATATGCAGAGCATGCTCCTCTTGTTTGACTTGGAATTAAAGATTAGTGCTTCTTTTGCCTCTTCTGAATCAAATCCATGCCCCGGTGGCCTCTTCCTCCCTCTCATCTTTATCATAATATTTTCCTTTCCGGCTTCCAGAACCCACCACAAGGGAGCAGGTAGTAAGAAGTGACAGACTTTCTCCCACCACCCCTTTGAACATCCTGCTCATTAGCTTCCCCAGCTCCATTTGGGTTCCCACAATGACTGTCGGACTTACCTGATCTTAATTGAACTGCCAACTGGGTTTCACAATGTTGGTCTTTGCTCTCACATGGAGACAGTTTAGAACCCTGCTTGTTGATTTGCAATGAAACTTAGGCACAGGGCCCTGGTGTTATGCTGGCCCAGGGTGTAGGAGATGGATTCATCCAGGCCCACAGTTTCCACTTAGCTTTTCTTTTCTAAGAAGAGGCTGGAGCCAAAGATAGTTAAGGAACTTTGCAAGAGATCCCCCAAATGTTCCAGTAAGCCCAGAGCTTCTGACAGGCTGGAGTTCCATCCTGGGTGAGGGCTACTTAGCTATTAAAAGAACATAGCCAAAGAGTGCTGACTTGCTTCTGGAGAGAGATCTTTAGTGCTGGGTCATGGTTCCTGACACAGCCAATGTTTAAAAATTAACTGGAGGAAGAGCTTTGGGAATATGTAAAATAAACACCAAAAGAATGCAAAGCAGGAATTGGAGGCCAATACACTGTTACAGACTCAGTATTTTCAGCAACTTCAAGAGGATAAACAGTGATGTCAGATTCAGGGAAGAGTGAAAACTGCTAATGAGAAATGTGAATGATTTTACTACTAACTTCATAGGGCAAGAGAGATGTGGTGGGCCATCATGAATCAGAAGAGCCTTCAGGTCTGCGGTGGATAATAAGGTCAAGAGCACAAGATCCAACACCACAAATTTCACATGGCCCAAATTGAGCATGTCTGTCTGGCCTAATTTCTGTTGACTGGAGCTAGTTATCTATTGTATGATTACAGAATTATCTATTATATGGTTACAAGCCATGGCTATAATTGAATGAAGATATATTTGGTGCATAATCCAATGAAATATTTTAACAATTTATTTGATCATTCACTCTTTCAGTAAATATTAACTGAGCACAAAGTGCATACCATACACTGAACTAGGTGCTAAAAACACAGTAGTAACTGAGATTGACATGGCTCCTACCCTCCCAGAGCCCAGTCTATCAGGGGAGATAGACTAGTAAAATCACAAAATTATTAAACCAGTAAAAACATAAAATTATTCCAAATGATAATCCTCATTAGAAAATGAAAGTACAAGGTTCTGGACAGCACAGAGCAGGAAGTTCAGGCCTGATCTGGGGAGAGGGATTGAGGGAATGTTCCTTGAGAGAGTGAGTTCTGAATTCATGGAACTGTTGTAGAGCTATGTTCTTCAACATAGTAGCCATTGGCCACATATAGTTATTTAATTTAAATGAACTAAAACTACGATTAAAAGTTCATCTGTTCAGGTGCACTATCCATGTTCAAGTGATCAATAGTCATCCGCAGCAAGTGACTGCCATATTTTTATTATACAGTTATAGACATTTCCATTATTGCAGGATGTTATACATACTGAACGGTGCTTCTATATAGGATTTAACCAGCTGGAAAGGAGCACATGGTGGGGGAGGTATATAAACACCTTGAGAAAAAACAAACAAACAAAAAGATGCTACTTATTTTGGAGAAGCTTAATTGTAAGGGAAGAAGGAAAGAAGTACATAGAATGTTAGTTGATGGTGACATTGGGCCATGGGTTTGGTGAGGGATCAGAGGACACGGGAAATTTTCCCTCCTCCTATTTTCTAACACAGACACTGAACAATTAATCCCTAGGCATTTGTTCAGTTCCTATTCCCAGATGCACCCCCGTTCTGAGGCTTTGCTCTGGTTCCCACGTATACAAAATAAAGACCAAAAAAGCAGAACAAAGAAATAATATTGTGCTTGAACTGTTCAGTAAAATATAAAATGAGTGACAGAGAATTGACTATAAGTTTCCAATTGTGTGGTAAAAATCACACATAACTAAATACAATTGGGCCTCTGTATCCATGAAATCCAACCAACCACGGATGGAAAATATTCAGGGAAAAAAAATTGTGTCTGTACTGAACATATGTAGACATTTTTTCACTTGTCATTATTTCTCAAACAATATAGTATAACACCTATTTACATAGCATTTATATTAGGTATTATAAGTAACTTAGAGATGATTTAAAGTATATGGGCAGATGTACATAAGTTATATGCAAATACTATACCTTTTTACATAAGGAACTTGAGCATCCGTAGATTAGGTATCCATGGGGGTCCTGGAACCAATCCCTCATGGATACAAAGGATGACTGTATCAGCTATTGCCCTGTTTTCTGCCTTTTGCCACAGTGCCCTGCCCTCTGCCCTTCACATAAATGTCATTGTTCCCAAGCATTCTGTCCTGGGCCCTGATCTGTTTTCACTCGATTCTCTTTTCATTCTGCCCCTCTAAGTGTGATTGTCTACTACGTGACTTAGCATATGATTCATGTACTGACTATTTCCAAGCCTCTGATTCCAGTCCTGGCCCTCCCTTCTGTGCCTCAGACTTGAATTCAAGTGTCCACTAAAAGCCTCCAACTGTCTGTCCTCAGGATAGTGCAAACTCATTCCTGTGGTGCCCACCCAAGCTGCACCTTGGTTCCCACTCAGCAGTGGCAATGCTATGCCACCAGAAGCCAGGAGACTGGGCCTCATTCTGACTTCCCACTGACAGCCCATCAGTCACCAGCCCTGTGGATTCTATCCTCAATAACCTCTTATATTTATTGACCCTCTCCCCTTCCCTTCCACATTATCCTAATTTAAAATGCACAGTCTGGATGATATAACTGGTTCCTATCCAGTTTCCTTAGTTCCAGTCTCAGCCCTCCCCAATCCATTCCCTGCACTCCAACTATGCAATCCTCTCAAATCTGATAATGCCTTTCCATTTTGTAATACCTTTTAGTGCCCGCATTACAGTGGTCCAAGTGATTATCTGTGGTTATGCTCGTCTTGATTTGGCCCTGATTACTTCTCTAGATGCTTTTCTTATCCTTTGTACTTTGCATATTATTCTCCAGACACACTTAGCTTCATTTAGTTCTAGGAATCCAGCAGGCTTAACTTTGTTTTTGGATCTTTACACATGTTGTTTCCAGAAACATTTTCACATCCCCACCCTCTTTGCCTGACTTGCACAGTTTAGATGTTATTTTATCCAAAAAGACTTCCCCAAATTCCTTTGTGCAAAGTTAGATGTCCCTCCCACAAAGGAGTAGGTAAGTGGGTCAAATAGTGGGCCCCCAAAGAGATGTCCCTATCCTAATTCCTGGGACATGCAAATGTTACCTTAGTTGGAAAAGGCATCTTCATAGATATAAACATGTAAAAAAATCTTGGTGCATCATCTGGAATTTCCAGGTAGACCTTAAACACAATGACAAGAGTCTTTATAAGAGACATACAGAAGAGAAACAGAGAGAAGTGGAAAAAGACATATGAAGGAGATAAAGATTAGAGTAATCTCTCACAAGTCAAGAAACCAGGAGTCACCAGAAGTTCCAAGAGGCAAGGAAGGATTCATCCCTGGTGCCAGAGGGCATGTGGTCCTGTTGACACCTTGAATTTGGACTAGAATTCTCCAGAACTGTAAGAAAGTACATTTCTGTTATTATAAGCCACCAAGCTTGTGGCAATTAGCTACAGAAACCCTCAGAATCAAAAACATTCTCTCTTTACTTCTGATCACACTGCACTAAAGTGGTCTTGTGTGTGTGCGTAACTTCAGTGAGCTTCTTCACGAGGGCAGGAGAATGCATGTGTTGCTTCCAATTGTATCCTCCACTGTGGCCCAGTACCTGCTACTGACAAAGCAATCCATTGTCCTTTGATACAAGAATGAAGTGCTATTGGCTGATACACACAGGACGAGCTCTGGGAGGAGTTGGACTTGAGCTGCTGTGATAAAATGGGCAGGATTTGGGAAGGGAGTGATCACTCCCAGCAACTGGAACCACATTAGTGAGGGCCTGAAAATGAGAATGGACATAACATGAGATCAGCCTGACTATAGGAGAAAGTTCTGAAATAAAGCTGGACCAGCACTAAGGTGAACTCTTGGGACTTTCTCCTGTAAGACAGAACTTCCTCACAGGTGTACTCAGCAGCTCCTATGATGCTCAACAGTCATAGCTTGCCATGGCATCTTTCTCTAGCATGGCTGGCCTTAGGGCTTCAGGTCAGTCTACAGTCACAGTTTGCCATGGTGTCTGTTTTCTCCAGCACAGGGCTTCGGAGCAATCTACTATAGCATAGAAATATTATTTCTTTGTGTGTCATGGTTTAACATAGATTGGGAAAAACTGATAAGTTTAGGAGTCATTAAAACTTCTTGAATTAAAACATGAGTAAGATCAGCTATGTACTTGCTAGCCTGAGTACAAAATAAAAACGTGGGCCCTTGGTACAGAAATCATTAGGAATTTCAAGATGCAATAGCAGAGCATTCAACCAAGTGAGGTGACTTCTAAGCAGGGATTTTGTGTAATTGCACAGGTCTCGCACCCAAGAAACTGCCCCTGACTATGAAGGAAGATTTGCTAAAGACGGATAGGAGATTCCTGTGAGATGTGTTGAATGGATCGGGAGTTGGGGTGAGAGGGTTACATCAGGGGGACAAGGTGGGAGTAATTCAGGAAGACGGAACGAGGAGACCTTGGTCTAATACAGTTTCATGGGAATGCAAAAAGGAGGGAAAAGGTAAACCCAACTGATGATATGCTCCCAGAGTCAGGGGGTATTTCTGGATCTTTCCAGACTTTTCAGTGCAGGGGGGAGCATCAGGGGAGCCCTCTCAGAATGCAGTTGCATTGTGTGTGTCATTGACATTGTACTGGAAACGGCATCAAGCAGGAATAACTAGAATTCAACAGAGATGGGAGTGAACATGGGCATTTTACTCCACAAAGGAACCCCGTGGGTATTGGATTGTTTGCTCAACAACTCTATGACTTTGGTGAGGGAGATGGATGGAAAGGTCATGGGAGACAGGCCACCCTCCGGTGCCTCTGGAGACCCAGTGAAGACGTGAACGAGTGAGGTTGAGGAGTGACCAGGACCTTCATGAATACCTAATTGCCCAAAGGTGATGGTCACTGTACAACTTTAGCCCATCATGGCCCTGTAAGGACACAAATAAGGACTGGAGACCAGAGCTGCAGACTCTTAGAAGAAGAGGATCCAAAATTGTGAGATCTTCCCCAATTTTTAAGTTTTGAAAATTAAGTTAAAATTATGTCTATACGTATATGTGTATATAGTTTCCCTCCAGAATGGGAAACAAGGGCTTGAGGCAGAGCAGACTACATATATACTAAAGAAAACACAGCCCTCCTAAGCCTCCCTTTTCCCATCATGGGTATGATTTTATTACCTACCTTTTGGATTAAATAATGTCATTTAGGTAAAGTACAGAAGCCAGCCTTTGCCATATAAAAGCTAAATAGATGCTGGCCATTATAGTTCTTAAGCCTCTACTACATACCAGGTTCTTTGCTGTGCACTTTATATATTCTCCTTTATTTTATGCTCACATCCATTCTGTCAAGTAGGCTTTATTACATTTTCTAACCCATTCCCTAAAGGTGGGTTAGAAATGAGTGTTCAAAGATATAAAGTCACTTGCTTTAGATCACAGTCTGTAAGAGTGAGTAAGAATTCAAATCTCGTTATTTCTGCCTCCCAAGGTATTGCTCTTTCAATGATGTCGCTTACCTGGTTCTGACTTTAGATTTTCTTCTGGCAGTTTCTTGGAAGAATGTTCTAGCAAATGGTATTTTTTTTTAAAGTTAAAACAAACTTCAAAAAGAGAAAAAATAGTCTCTTTCCTCTTACATACTCAAATACATACACCTAGGTACATACCTGCTCAAAATGAATGTAATAAAAGTGCCAGTACATGTTCCCCCATCCAATGGATTGTTAAATAACATTGTTTACACGCATTAGCTTCTGTGTTTTTTTTTTTTTCAATTCTATGGGACAATTATTGCATTCCTATTCTGCCTCAAAGGTGAAGAAGTTGACAGTATAATGAATATGAGACTTGGTACAGGCCCTAAGGCAAGAGATTAACAGGGAGGACCCTAATGCCTTTATTGAGAAGACTCACTCCCTTGGGTCCACTCAGGAATGGTGACAGGTGTCAGAGCCAAGCCTGGGGCCCCAGGGCCTCTGTGCCCTGAGAGGCAATTAGCTATTTGCTCAGTGGCCTACAATTCATGTATATCCTCCAGTCCTGCAAATTGATCAGCCCATTTCCCTCTTTTCCTGGGGGCTTTCAACTCTGGAGTTATCTACCTAGAATCCTCCAGCAACCAGAAATTCTTTTCTGAAAAAAAATTGAAAAGAGGAAGAAAAAAAGAAAGAAAGAAAGAAAGAAAGAAAGAAAGAAAGAAAGAAAGAAAGAAAGAAAGAAAGGACTTGCAGTGCTGATGCCTGAAATTAGCAAGAATTTTAACTTGTTCCTGGAACAAATTCTAGGGCATTGGAATTGCGAATGGCATTGGGTAGGGTGTGGGGAGGACCCAGCTGGGCAATCCAGAATGGTGAGACTCATGGCAAACAGCTTTGTTTGATTCTTTTGACTGTGGCCAAGCCAGTAGGGCTGACAGCATGATGTTCTCAGTAACAGCCTCGACAACAACATGATTTGTTTTTCTTCCAAAGCTGAAAACGGCATCTCAGCCTGCAACGGGAGCTTTCTTCTGAACCTGTGGGATTCGAGGGCTGATTTCAACCTCCAGAATGGGAAGCCAGGGCATGAGGCAGAGCAGCAGACTCCAATGCAAATGTCATCTGGCAATCCCTTTTACCTAAACAACATTCATTTTTAATTTGGAAGAACTTGTTTCATCTTTTAATAAGTCAGATTTCAGATTAAGATGTTCCTCTTTCTAACCACCAGATTGAAACTCAAGACCATCTTCGGCCAAGGGCCATAATATCTGTGCTGTTTCTATAATTTACAGCAGAAACTGAGTCTTGAAGCTTGGCCTTGGGTTCATGTCTGCTTAAATGGGTTATTTTCTGAATTTCTTTCAGGGAATTGGGAAGATGTAAAGTAAGCCTCAGTTTCCTCCAAAAGGAAAGCTGAAAGCTGATAAGGTATGTAGACCACTAAGAAAAATGATGGTAGCGGTTAGCTAGTCCTGTAGTTAATAACGATTGCAAGTGATTTCAAATCTCATGCACTACAAGAAATGCTAGAGAAGTAAGTGATAGTTCCCTTGCTTTCTTTGCCACTAAAAGAAAGCCTCTAGCCAGATCTGTGCTCTAATACTGCAGGGAAATTGTGAGTCACCAAAAGAAATGATCTTTGCCCCTACTGTCCTTGCCATCTAGTGCAAGAGCAAGGTGCGCATGGTTGCACTCATGGGTTCACGGTGAAAGAGAGGCACAGGCTCCAATGTGTGCTTTGTGCAAGTTCATTTCCAAGTCAGTGATTTGAACTCAAATTGCATCTGCCAATATAAATTATATTATAGAGGCTGAGAGAATTCTTGGGCTGGCAAACCACAACACATTTTTGCTTTTTCCGACAGTGTAGGATTTGTCCACCTTTTATACTTTTGTCTCTACCCATAGATGTGATCCCTAGCAAATTCCAGAGGCTCCACGGCACCATCCTGCTGGAGATAATGATTTCCATATGGACTCTGCTTTCTTAAGAGTTCCAGTGGCAGTGAGAATATGGTACATGACCGTTGGCAGGAGGAGCGAGTGGCAGGTGAGGCTTCCAAGACATTCAGGGCTTGGTTTGTCTTCAGAAAGGGACTTAAATCTTAGCCAGTATAAGCCAGGGGGGTTTAGGGAACACCTTCTTGGTGAGTCCCTTAGCCTTTAGGGACTCTTGGAAACTCAGTTTCCTCATCAGGAAGATAGGAACAACAACAATAATAAATGATGCTTCCCTTAGGGTCTTGTTGTAAAGAAAGGTGAGAGGGCATGAGATAACACAAAGTGATTCTGTCACATAGTTGGCATGTAGGAAATATGGACTACAGGTCTAGTACTGAAAGAGAAAAGATGTACAAATGTTTTGATAAGTTCAAGTACAGAATGCAGACTGTGTATATACAGGCTGAGAGACAGGGCTGAAATTGTCTGGGTTTCAGGTGATTTGGGAGCAGCAGATAAAGCTATCTAGGACAGCACCAGGAGACTTTCATGTGGGTGACCCTCCACAGGGCATTGAAATGTAACTGTCCTGTATTATGTTTGACTACCCTCTCCCTGCCATCCTAGCATCTAAGGGACAAAGAATAGTACCCAGCAACATGCTTCACACTGGCATCTTGAAAAAGAGGAACTAATTGTGACTAGATGGACTCATGAAATTGATGAGGAGGGCCTCCTCTGGGGATCAGGAACCCTCGCAGCACATTCACCAAGACTGATGTCCTGGACTGTAGTAGCTTTGGGACTTTGGCCAGAGAAAGACAGAAGTTGCCTACCTGGCTAAGGATTCAAATGAGATTACATGTGACCCCAGGTGAGGTGTTTTTCTTTGTTCCAGTGGTCCTTTATGTCCTAGAAACCCTACAACATTGAATCTGTTCCCTGCATTTCCCTGATGGACACTGTTGGTCTACTCACAGGAACCATTCATCGATCCTGCTCTCTGGAGATGGCGCTTCTTAGATTCTTAACACCACAACGTGGCTTAAAGATAAAGAAAAGAGAACTTAAAAAATATAAAATAATGGTAACATTGACAGACATCTGGAGGAGGAGGATGTAAGATCAGTATTAAAACACTGTTCCTTGGGGCTGGGCTTGTGGCTCAGTGGTAGAGCATTTTGCCTAGCACGTGTGAGGCCCTGGGTTCAGTCCTCAGCACCATATAAAAATAAATAAATAAAATAAAGATATTGTGTCCAACTACAACTAAAAAGTAAATAAATATTTTTTAAAAAATACTGTTCCTTGAAGTTATTGACTGGAGAGTAAACCAGTGCTATCTAAAGATGTTGAAAGAGTCTCCAAATGCATAATTGAGCATTCTACATATAGCTGATAGAAAAACCTTAAAATAAATAAATAAAACTAACCAAACTCAAGACAAGGCCAGTAGTACAAGAAAGCCAGAGAAGATAAAGGGGATTTTTCATCTTTTGGAGAAGTGAGTCAAAAACAATAAAAAGCCTGCTAAAAAGTTTATAAAGAAAAACATATAGGTATATCAGTTAGCTTATGTTAGACTATAATGAGGCAATAAACAATGTCCGAATAGTAAAACAATAGCTTTAATATTTAATTTTCTTGTTCAGCTCCCATTTCTGTGGCTTTGGTAACTAGCCCTGCAAAAGACCCCAGTGATCTTTGCCTCTGGGAATGCAAGGGTACCTTGCATTGTACCTTCCCATGTGATGCCAGAGTTGGTCCACGTGACCCTATAATGCAGCAGAAATGTGATGAACTATCACTTCTGAGATGAGATACTCTCCATTATGGGTGGGTATTTACTATCTCTCTCTTGGGTGGATCTACCTGCCATGTTGAGCAGCCTGTCCACAGAGTATACCACAGGAGAATATCTTCAGGATCCAGGGCAAAGAGTTATTAGACTTGACCAAAAGTCACAATCCATAGAAGGCAAAATTGATAAATTACAAATGTAAAAATCTTTACTCTCTGAAAGACCCTCTTAAGAGAAGCAGAAGTCAAACCACATAATGAGAACATACTTTTAAATAGCCAGGCATGGTGGAGCACACTGTAATCTCAACAGCTTGGGAGATGAGGCAGGAGGGTCACAAGTTCAAGGCCAACCTTGGCAACTTAGTGAGACTGTCTTAAAATAAAAAGGACTGAGGATGTAGCTCAGTAGTAAACTAGTAAGGGTTCAATCCCTGCCGTAAACTAAATAAATAAATAAGAAAAGAAAAAAGAAAGAAAGAAAATATTTGCAAATTGCACATCTGACAAAGGGTTATTATCGGAACAATGAATTCTCAAAACTGAACAGTACAAAAAAAAAAGAACAATGCAATGAGGAAATGGGCGAAAATATAAGGAGACATTTCATCAAGAATATACAAATGACAATGGGTATATTAAAAGATGTCCAACATCAAAACCCATTAGGGAAGTGAAAATTAAAACCGCAACAAAATATCACCACACACCTATCTGAGTGACTAAAAAGAAGTGACACCACCAAGGGTGAATGGTTCAACAACCAGGATACATCCAAAGAAGCCATAAAGAGGAACAAACTCCTGGCACAAGCAACACCCTGATGGAGTCTTCAGAGCCTCATGCTGAGTCAAAACAAAATGAAACATAAAACCACACAGAAGGAAACCAGAAGACTACACACCATATGATTCCATTCATGTAGCATTCTTGAAATGACAAAGTTGTAGAAATGGGGAACAGATAATGTTGCTGAGGTCACAGGCTGGGGGAAAGGTGAGAAGAAGAGAGGCGAGTGTTGCTTCAAAAGGGCAAGAAGAATCCCATGAAAATCCAAGAGCATTTAGTAAAATAGAGGAAAGGGCGGGTGGGGGGGCGGGGTAGGAAGAGGAGAGGGAGGGGGGAAGTGCTGAGGACTGATATTGGCCAAATTACAGTTGCTACATTGAGTGCATGTACAAATATGTAACAAGAAATCCCACCATTGTGTACAACTGTAAGGCACCAATAAAATAATGTGGGAGGGAAAGACAGGGAGCCACAGGAGGAAGTAGGCCCAGAGCCTGGCTGTGGTGTACTATTGTGGTGTACCATTGGAGGAAACTAGGTAGAGTATAAAGTGAATCTGCCTGCATTATTTTCTGTAATTGCATGTGAATCTACAGTTGTATCAAAAGAAGCTTAAGACATCTGAAACAAACTTTAAAATATCTTATTTTATTACTTTTAAAATTAAAATAACCTATATATAAAACCTTTACATTTATGATAGGTAGAGAGACGTATATTTAACACACATTACAAAGAGTTAATATTATTATAACATAATCTTTTGTAATATTAAGAACAAACAACCCAGTAGGAAAAAGTAAGTAAAAGC